TTCACCGGAGGTCGGACTCCATCGCGCATATGAGCAAGCCCCCGCCGGCCCTGGGCACAAAAATTGACTTGCAGCTTTCCGCCACCCGATAGCGCGGGCCTTAGCGACCAACAGGACGTGGAGGTTGCCTTGAGCGGCGGATCTTTGGCGGAGGGGCTTTCGTCTGTGGGGTGTTCTGCGTAGACAAGCCGGTTCGGGAGAGATGTCTTCCAACGGGAGCGTGGATCTGAAGGGCATGGGCGGGGTCGCGGTGTACAGGACGGCGGGCATGCTGGCGGTGTTTTCGGTCTTCCTGCTGGTGGAGGGCACCGTGCGCCTGACGCTGGTGACCGCCAGCAACCACGGCGCCGACTGGGACGGCGAGGAGGACGTGGCCTTCCCGGGCGTGGTGCTGCTCATCGGCGCCATCCTGGAGGTGCTGGCCGGCCTGGGCGGCCTCCTGCGCGCCCTGGCCGTCATCATGTTCGACCACCACTCCCAGTCCGCCACCCGGAACGCCATCGCGCTCATGCTGCTGGCCTGGTTCACCTTCGTGGTGTACGTGTTCGCGGACCCGGCCTACGCCGCCGCGCACGCCCGGGCCTCGCCGGTTGCCGGCCTGACGCTGGGCCAGCACAGGTTCGCGCAGGCGCTGGGCATCCTGGGCGGCGTGGCCCTGTGCGCGGCGCTGCAGGGCGGCCAGGTCTTCTTCGCCTGGCAGCTGTGGACCATGGAGAAGGGCCAGGCCGCCAAGTACGACAGCGCCTACTACGCCGCCCGCCTGGTATACTACTCCACGCTGGCGCTCATCGGCGGCGTGTCCCAGGTGGCCATCGGCATCCTGGCGCGCGACGCGATCGGCTCAGGCAGGCTGGTGGGCGCCCAGCGCGTGGTAGCCCCGCCCTACTTCGTCGTCTACCCGGAGCTCAACATCGCCGCCGGTCTGGTGGTGACCTTCTCGGCGGTGGCCGGCTACGTGCGGAGTGCGCTGCGCAGCGAGGCCGGGCGGTGGCAGTTCGCGGGCGCCTGGGCGGCCACCTGGCTGGTGCAGATCCTGCTCATGGCGGCCACGCAGCTGGGCGTGTGGTCGGAGGGCGAGCTGGGCGCCCGGCGGGAGGTGGTCTTCGTGTCCGGCATGCTGGTGGTGCTGACGCTGGCGCTGTCCGTGCTGCCGCCCTACATGGACGCAATGATCCACCACCCGGAGACCAAGGAGCGCAACGGCGGGCAAAGCGACTCCAAGGTGGACCTCATGGCGCGCGCCGGCGTCTGAGGACGCTGAGCTTGGCTGTGTGGGTTTGGCTTGTTCGTCTTGTACCGTGAATGGGACTGGTGCGGGCAAATATCCTTGCCGTTTTGGAGGAGCAAGGTTTGGGATGAGCGTTGGTGAATGGGCGGGCCTCTTGGGGCCGCGCACTGGTTGCGCACTTCTCTCCCGTGGACGTCATATGTGCCGTGGCAGCAAAATATTGTTCTAGCGCGGCTTGGGGTTGGGGGTTGGGCAATACGCAAGACTTGGGGAAACATTCTTTGGAATATTCCGAGGCTGGTTGACGAATGTAAACGATTTATTTATATTGACTTGTTGCTCTGAGCCAAGTCGTGGCGTGTTGTGGATGATGCCTCCGTTCACAGATATCGTTTACTCCCGTGTTGCAGGAACTGAGCATGTGCGAGAAGTATGCTCTGCTGGCAATCCGAATGTGTGTGCAGTGGCAATAAGTTTTGTACATCTAATACAGGCCCGATGTCAGATGCAGTGCATGCCAGGGATTTGGCTGAATGCCTGAAACGGATAGGAGCCAAAAGCATGGCCACAGTATTTGTGAATATTCAGATAAACACTGTGCCAACACATTGATGTATGTAGGATCCTATTTTCTGGCAAAATGTAACAGAAATAACAGAAATGGATAGCCTTCCGTGCAATGGCAGCACATCTCTTTGGCCTTTCCGTTTGCGTCCAGGCTGCTCAGCAACTGCAACAGTATCCACACAGCTGCCCCAGGTCGTCCTCTTTGCGTATGAGCTTCGGGTCCAATTGCTCCACTGACAATGAACAATATTAGAGCATCGGCAGCCATGCGGCAATCAGAAGGAAACTCCCTTGCATGTATGCACTTGTTTGTGCCAACAACTACATTTACTGAAGTGTGCGAGGCAGGCGTACAATGATGCGCAGTTCGTTGATTCCAGACGTTTCCAGGGGGTCGAGTTGTTGTCACAGGTGACCCCTTCGCCAGTGGAGGTCACAGTGGTGTGAGGGACCGCTGCTATGATTGGCACACTCTCCAATGGCAATCTACCAGAATGCGAATGCCAGCCCCTGCCATAGAAACTGGTGAACCAGCATGAAAAGGCATCAACACACCATGTACCGTTGAGCAACAGAGAAGCGTCGCAAGAAAACGGACGTCTGACAGCCTCGTGACTGCCCTCAAAAGTCCAAGAACCAAGGCTGTCTGTGCGCTTGTCCGTGTGATGAAGCCGTTTTGGGAGTGTCTACAAACCATGGAGTCTCTGATTCTTTATTCGGTGGGTCAGTCCTCCATGGAAGCAACAGGCACAAATCGTTCTTTGGGTAGTGCTGCAACTCAAGGAACATCTCTTACTGCAATGCCAATGATCAGCAACGCCGTTCTCCAGGCTATGTATTCCAGCAGTCGGCAAGCATTCCCTTCAGAGCAAAGGGCATTTGTTTCTACTCTTTTAATGCGCTGGCGCAGAATTTCGGGATTATGTTCAAGCAGCAACTTCCAACCATCAAGAATTGCCTGGATGCAATGTGCGCCCCAGTAAAGGAAGTCAATTCTCAGGGAAGTACAGTGAAGAAGGCAGACGATGCCCCAAAACTGAATGGCGCAGAAATCAAACACCTTTCCGATCGTGTCGAGGCAGCTGAACCGCCTTGGTGACCATTTGGAAGCGCAAATCAGAAGTCACAAAAGCGAACCTTCGATGGCTGCCTGAAAGTGATGGCGAGGTTCCTGCCTCTCTGCACACGTCAATTTGCAAAACTTTTTCTCAGTTTTACAAGGTGCAGATCCCTCTGGGGGTGGCTTGCGTATTCCATTTAATACTGAATGATACATTTTCATTCAGTACTGAATTCAAGATTAATCTGTGGGGAGGTTGGGAATGCCGATGCCTGGATTCAAGAGACCTGTGTTGATTACCTTTCGTTCTTGGCGCACGATGTTGCTGCTCTCAAACTCCGCAGTATGAATAAGCAAATCAAACGAGCAGATGGCCAACGACTTGAAATGGATCGAATACTTCCCACACATTTCCGCGAGTTGGATTGCAAGATCTTACCAAGAAGAAAGTTGAGCACAGAAGCCAATCGATCCAAAGTTACCATGCCGCAAAATCGAGGTGTTTCTGTCCACTGGCGGATGGGTTTCCAATTGCAGTTTGAGGATTCTGTCGATGGCTCCTTGAAGGTTTGAAACCGTTTGGCACAAAAGCCTCTTACCTCAGATTTTCTGCCCATATCTCAGGAATAGAGAGGTTGCCCCTGATGGGATTTTGATCTCTTTTGCACGTCAACATGGCACAGATCAAGTTGGCTCCAAGTGATCTACTTCAATTCTAAACTTCTAGACTTGTAGGCGAAATGCGGACTGTCCGATGCAAAATCATGGAGCGAATCGGACAGTGTTGATCCCCTTGAGCTTGATGGCATTTCGAGATTTTCAGTGCTTAGAAATTGAAATCAATGGGCAAAGACGGCTTAGCAATACCGAGTTTGTGAAGTTACCGCTTTCTGATGAATAGCAACTCAATGGTTGGATTGTGGCAATGCCTTGGTTGCTCATAAGACAATTCATGGACACTGCTTTGCTCTGGCGAAATAAGGAGCCGATGGCTGCCTCCTCGCCTTGATATGTACGAATTCTTTGATGATGATGGTGGTAATGATGGTGATGATGAATTTGAGCGGCTCAGAACGGAACCTTGGACGATCAGTGAGGATCAGGTCCGATGTTCGGACCTATGCCGCATTGGCTCCCCAGCATGTCGCACGCAGCGACCACTGCTAGTGGCTGTCTCGGACGTGAACTCGCCCGTCTTATGTCACACGCGGCGCGCAACCCACCGAGGGCGCCGTCACCAAGGCAATGTACCACACCCGCCATCACGTGAGCTGGCAGGGGTCCGCGGCACTGTACGGCGGGGCGTCTGCCCATTTCATGGGTCGCACGAGGCCCGCGGCCTGGCGCTGAGGGATCGACGGCCGTCGTTTCTAATGCCGCGGCTCCCCACATGACTGGCGTTGTGTCGGCGTTGTGGCCACCGTAATGCGTACGACTTCACCGGAGGTCGGACTCCATCGCGCATATGAGCAAGCCCCCGCCGGCCCTGGGCACAAAAATTGACTTGCAGCTTTCCGCCACCCGATAGCGCGGGCCTTAGCGACCAACAGGACGTGGAGGTTGCCTTGTGCGGCGGATCTTACGCGGAGAGGCTTTCGTCTGTGGGGTGTTCTGCGTAGACAAGCCGGTTCGGGAGAGATGTCTTCGAACGGGAGCGTGGATCTGAAGGGCGTGGGCGGGGTCGCGGTTTACAGGACGGCGGGCATGCTGGCGGTGTTTTCGGTCTTCCTGCTGGTGGAGGGCACCGTGCGCCTGACGCTGGTGACCGCCAGCAACCACGGCGCCGACTGGGACGGCGAGGAGGACGTGGCCTTCCCGGGCGTGGTGCTACTCATCGGCGCCATCCTTGAGGTGCTGGCGGGCCTGGGCGGCCTCCTGCGCGCCCTGGCCGTCGTCATGTTCGACCACCACTCCCCGTCCGCCACCCGGAACGCCATCGCGCTCATGCTGCTGGCCTGGTTCACCTTCGTGGTGTACGTGTTCGCGGACCCGGCCTACGCCGCCGCGCACGCCCGGGCCTCGCCGGTTGCCGGCCTGACGCTGGGCCAGCACAGGTTCGCGCAGGCGCTGGGCATCCTGGGCGGCGTGGCCCTGTGCGCGGCGCTGCAGGGCGGCCAGGTCTTCTTCGCCCTGCAGCTGTGGACCATGGAGAAGGGCCAGGCCGCCAAGTACGACAGCGCCTACTACGCCGCCCGCCTGGTATACTACTCCACGCTGGCGCTCATCGGCGGCGTGTCCCAGTTGGCCATCGGCATCCTGGCGCGCGACGAGATCGGCTCAGGCAGGCTGGTGGGCGCCCAGCGCGTGGTGGCCCCGCCCTACTTCGTCGTCTACCCGGAGCTCAACATCGCCGCCGGTCTGGTGGTGACCTTCTCGGCGGTGGCCGGCTACGTGCGGAGTGCGCTGCGCAGCGAGGCCGGGCGGTGGCAGTTCGCGGGCGCCTGGGCGGCCACCTGGCTGGTGCAGATCCTGCTCATGGCGGCCACGCAGCTGGGCGTGTGGTCGGAGGGCGAGCTGGGCGCCCGGCGGGAGGTGGTCTTCGTGTCCGGCATGCTGGTGGTGCTGACGCTGGCGCTGTCCGTGCTGCCGCCTTACATGGACGCAATGATCCACCACCCGGAGACCAAGGAGCGCAACGGCGGGCAAAGCGACTCCAAGGTGGACCTCATGGCGCGCGCCGGCGTCTGAGGACGCTGAGCTTGGCTGTGTGGGTTTGGCTTGTTCGTCTTGTACCGTGAATGGGACTGGTGCGGGCAAATATCCTTGCCGTTTTGGAGGAGCAAGGTTTGGGATGAGCGTTGGTGAATGGGCGGGCCTCTTGGGGCCGCGCACTGGTTGCGCACTTCTCTCCGGTGGACGTCATGTGTGCCGTGGCAGCAAAATATTGTTCTAGCGCGGCTAGGGGAACGGGCAGTATGCAAGACTTGGGGAAACATTCTTTGGAACCTTCCAAGGCTGGTTGACAAATGTAAACGATTTATTTATTTTGACTTGTTGCTCTGAGCCAAGTCGTGGCGTGTTGTGGATGATGCCTGCCTTCACAGAGATTGTTTGATCTCGTGCTGCGGGAACTGGAAGTATGCTCTGCTGGCGGTCTGACCGTGTGTGTAGGGGCAACGGGATTCGTACATCTAGTACAGGCCCGATGTCGGATGCAGTGCATGCCAGGGATTCGGGTGAATGCTTGAAATAGACAGTGGCAAAAAGCATGGGCACAGTATTTGTGAATATTCAGGTAGACGCTATGCCAACACATTGGTATATGTAGGATCCCAGTTTCTGGAAAATGTAACAGAAATGAATAGCTTTCACTGCATTGGCAGCACATCTCCTTGGCCTTTTCGTTTGCATCCAGGCTGCTCAGCAAGTGCAACAGTATCCATACAGCTGCCGCAGCTCGTCTACTTTGTCGGTGGGGGTCACAGCCGTGTGAGGGCCTGCTGCTATGACTGGCAGACGCTCCAAAGGCGATCTACCAGTATGCGACTGCCAGCACCTGCCATAGGAAGCTGGTGAGCTAGCATGGAAAGGCATCAACAAACGATGCACTGGTGAGGATCAGAAAAGCATCGTAAGAGATTGGACGTCTGGCAGTATCGTGACTGTCCTCAAAAGTCCAAGAAATAATACAGTTTGTGTGCTGATCCATGAACAAGGATATTCTGAACAGGCGTGAAAAGCACATTTGCTGAATGAAGAGGCCTTCACTATGTGATGGTCAAGGTAATTCATGGGTCATTGTCATAGTCCTCCAGTGATGCTCCCTATGTGTGCGCTATGTGCTGGGGGTGGAGCCATGACACTCATTCAGTTGCTTCATCCTCACACTTCAACATGCGCACAAGTTGTGCGTGAGCAGCCCTGCATCGGCTTGACAAGTGAACTGTACCCATGACTCCTGTGGATCTGGAGTGATTTGGCTTATGGAAAATATTGCGCAAGTTGTCAAGAAAACCAACCTACTGCCCAAACTAGCCTTCATATTCACAACGACCTGAGTGCACTGAGATATCTGCTTTGCAAGAGCCCCACCCATGCTTGTATGCCTACAAGTGCAGGTAATTGAGCAACCCACCAATGAATTCCAGTTGTTCGTTTACAACTCGCTCATCCAAACTATGACCTTGAGGACTGCACAAATCCTGTCCAATTTCGTTCACAATCATCCGCCTTAAGATGTGAGTCAATGGGCAAACCATTGTTAATCCTCCAATGCCAACAAAACTCCTTCAAAACAACCTCACTACATATCCCTTCTTCTACACTACTGCCCCCTGTCCCCTGCACAATCTAAGCGTGGATACCCAAACCGACTGACTAAGTCTCTTACCATCCTCAGTGCTCAGCATGCTATACGATAGGTGACGTACCTCCCTGCCGTCTCACTGGCTCGCACAATTCGCACCACTTGCCCCCTCACCATCCCATAGTACCTTGCCACAGGGTCGTTGAGCTGCAGGCAGACAACCAAAACATCAAGCACAAACATTATCTGAGGTACTCACTACATTAACACCCAGACTTGCAGAACATGCTGTCCATTGTATTGTATCAACAATGCAAACAACAAAAAGCTTGTCTGACGCAAGATTCATTCGTGGCTCATACACCACTGCACACACCAGATCCCAACAAAACACAACAAAATGACCATAATCCACCCAGTCTTGCTGAAGTGCTATTCATGGCTATCCACTCAACTTGCCATCCGCTGCAACATGTCAACATTGTAATCCTCTGTAAACATGTCCAGTGCAATATTCATGGATGGCTCACATACAACAGCACACACTAGATCCCAAGACAACAAAGTGATCATAATCTGAAGTAGGACAATGGGTGTGTTCCCACATCAGTACTAATGCACAGGGACTTTTCATAAGTTACAGGGCTGGGCAATGCAAGGTTGTCAACAAGGTGAGATATGGTAACACTATGCCATCGCTGGCGAGACTCTGGTCCCCAATTATCACCACACGAGAGCCCCTGCAAGTGCAGCCACTGTGCGCCACCATGACACCAGCTGCATATTGCATATGACAGTCTGGTAAGCCATCAAAGCAGCAAATGTGTCTCAGCTGCTCCACTGTGTCCACTATGCATGTCAACAAATGTGAGATGCACTGACAAAGTCGTGTACTGACTAAATCTTGCTAGCGTTGACACTGATCCTGTTCCGCTGATGTGCACTCAGAAACATAGCTAAAGGCGCAACAATGCCACAATTTTCTTGTCCATTGCTGGTGCAGCCTTGTCTGTCTGCTGTCTCGACAAAACGCGCATCAGCGTAAACATTTCTGCTATGAAATACACCAGTGTTCAGGGTTTTCCAGGCAGTTCCTCAGCACTGCACTCTTGAAGCTGGACATCGCACTTTCCAGAGTCATTGCCCACAATCTACCTCGAAAGCATGCAGTCTCTCAGGGCCACTTTCTAGCACAATGTCCAGAGTTTTGCCAGCCCTCACAGTCAACCCACCATGGATGCAGCAACTGACCTGTATTCGTGGCAGCTGAGATTCCTTGACCTTGTATTGTGCAAGCAGTGTTTTTTTCTCGTTGTCTTTCAGCACTCGATGCTCAGGCACCAAGACATGCTTTGTGATGTTCACAAGCAGCTCCTGCTCAAGAAATATCTCTATCTTGTACTTGGATTCCATCTGTTGTAGGGTGGCCTTGGCAAAGGGCGTGAGCTTGCTGGCAATTACCATCAGCGCTCGACCCACGTTCTCAGCTTTCATCCGATCGGCGATCGTCTAAGGTGTCAGCACACGTATTTTGACTTCACCACCATGGGTACTTGTTGCTGGCAATCAGGAGTGAAGCAGGGCCAAAAGAGCGCAAGTGCATATGGACTGTGTCTGAAGGTTAGGGTTGGCGTAAAAGTGTGCAGCCAAGGACAGCAGATCCAACGAACTGATGGTTATTGCCTTCTGGGTGGCTGGTTATGATGTGCTGATATTGACGCATCAACTCAAAAGCACTGTATACACCAGCAGAATGAACATGCATCAGAGTGTGGGATTCAGTTGGCAATGGCGGCAACAACTTGAAATCGATGTGTTCATTGGGGATGTGCACAAGGTGGGGATCTGAGCGGACTCTTCCTGGGCGACCTGCTTGTGTATTGCTGTGCTGTGGAGATTTCTTCAAGACAGGAAATCTCTGTAGTGGAAATTTTGCATGGGAAGAAAAGATTCTTGCCAAATCATGTGTCACCTCTGAAGTGGCCAGTAAAGCTTGCCCAGATTTGGGATTCTGTAATGAACACCAAACCCATGCAACCGTGCATACCCTGCAACTCTCATCTTGCAAAACTGTGACAAGCAAGTCATGAAGACTCTGCGCAATACAACAGTGTCCAAAGCATTGGAATCAAGAATTCGCTTTAGCAGGTGGGATGTCCACGGGTGCCACTGCAACACAACACCTACCTTGATAGCTGTGACCCCAACTTTCTCTTCTTCAGGGAAGAAGACAAATATGTTCTCCCGGTGATTCTCCATTTTAGGGATGAGCAAAGTGAGCTCCTCCTTTCGGGGCTGCTCACCATATTTCATTTTGAAAGCCTCCAATGTTGCTGTCAGTTCGTCCTACAAACAATGGAAGTCGTCAGCATCACTGCATCTGCCATGCCAATGGCCATCAACAAACTGGAATTTTCCAGGAGCACTGACAAAAGAAACCCAGCCTGAGAACAAGGTAAGAAGACCTGTTCTACACAACCCGTACAGAACTGTCCATCTATTTAATGCCTATCCAGCATTGGATTCTATCTCCATCTGGTAGTTTGTTGCAAACTCGCAGGGCTGGGATGTTGTCTGGTCCAACATTCTGTTTTCAAGAAATGGGACAATTCTCCACACAACACAGCCTGGCGCAGTAGTTTCCTGAAGCAAACGACCAAGCCATTCGGGACCATGACTCAAGCACACCGCATTGTACCACTGCCACCCCATTCTCATTCACCCCCACACAAGGCAAATGCTGCTCTGTCGGATGGAAAACAGCGAAACTCCGTGAATCTTCCAATACCTTCCTGCGGCTCTCCTTCTATGGTGAAAACTGCAAGCTGACTTACTGAGTGAGTGGAGATGAACAAACACTCTTGAGCAGCCGCTGTGACCGGAATTATGCCCTTCATGTTCTTGAAGGCGGAAGGACACTACTTTCTCAAAATTTTTCCCAATCCAAGCAATGCATTGGCACATTCTGTGCTGGTCAGCCATTGTGATCCAAATCGCAATTATAACCTCCGCCACAGCGTTCCCATCGCGACCTCCCGTTCCAGCGCCCGCTAAGATCTTCACAACGCACTGGATTGACAGAAATTTCAACAAGCTGTCGCCAAATGGCATTTGCGCCCATACGGCTGTCCACGCTTCAGTGGCAAGGCAGCCTCAAGGTCAACCTGGCGTCGATCCAAAGCATCAAAGGTGCGGAGCTCCTGCGATGTGGTTCACCTGAGGGACGAGGTAGCCCCTGTCTCCCAACATCTCCAGGCACGTCTTGCGCACGCGGTATACTCTTGTGGCGAAGTCCATGGCTGCCCGCGGAGACGCTGCTTGGGCAGGCGAGCGTGTCCAGCAGGAAGTAAGAAGGGGCGCAGAATCGACAATCGTTTTCTCGCCGATGTGAGCTTTCTTTTGCACCCCCTGGTCCCGGTAAACTCAGCTAGTTTTCACCGTAAAATATTCAACCCGTTCGCATCAGAAAACTTTGCCGTTACGCTTTTTGCTCCGCATTTTTGTTTCAGGGCGTTATTTCTATTTTTGTAGGTTGCTCCACAAAAGAACTCATTGAAAGAACGATATTTATTTTGTTGTTTTCTCCGCAAAATAAGGCAAGGTTACGGGATTGTGTGGAGCGGTTGAATAGATTACTGTTGTCCAAAAGTTTTGAAAGGGTGGGAGACATGTGTTGCGACTGTCCCGAAATCGAGTGGACGCACCATTTGACTATTAAATGAGCTATTAAATGACTATTAAATGACCATTTGACTACTGAATGGTGACGCGTTGCTTGCTGCACATCCCGCTGTACTGCTACAGGAGAAAGGGGTCCAAAACCAACGACGACTGTGGCTATGTTGTCGCCCAAGCTCTTGAAACCGACCGTAACTAATAAATTGAAAATTTGAAAAATGATTTTTCTTGTCCGTGGTTTGGCTCCGTTTTCACCTGGGGATGCAGAAGAAATGCCGAACAGTTCTACGTGGGGGTTTGCACTCCACCACGGAAAACATGCCCTTTCTGTCGTTTGGCTGCGGCTGCACTTTGAAGATCGCGGCGCTACTGAATCGCCGTCATAACGACGGCTTGGAATGGCAGATGGATCACGAGGAATGTGGCTGTTCTAGTTACAGCAAATGCAGCAAATAAACCCAGGCACAATGCCTTTGGAATCGAAATTGAACACCTAACACATGTTCCGTCGGGAAGCACCAACGCGATGAGATATGTTGAGGTTACAATCAATTTTCCCACATGAAATTTTCTGCGCCGCCATACCCTTAACAAAGAATAAAACTTTCGGCCGCCGTCCAGATCTTAATATTGAAGCGCAAGAACCCAATCGGCTCCTCAGGATCAACAATGCGCTCCTGGCGTCTCAAAAGCCGTTAACTTACCGGCTATAAACTAATTGGTAACAATATTGATTACCCAGTCTTCTGTCCGTTACACTCGGTATGCAGCTGTATACTCAGCATGCAAAAGTCCATCAATTCCGCCAGAATGACACAATTCTCATATTTGCCACATCCCACCCAGAAAGCTAGCACACACGCATCAAAAGGAAATACATCTTCATCGGCCCCTAGCTAGGGTATGGGGGGGTGGGGTGGGGGTCCTATAGGCTTAATGTTTTAAAGCATGCAACTTCTCACCGTCCCAACTGTACACATCAGTATTGACATGGCCCACCCATCCGCAATTTGTCGATTCCTCCATGCCAACTGCTAAGTGCAGCCCATCAAACTGCTGTTCCCTGGCACAGCTCACTAGGGAAAAAAGGGCCAGATAACACGTGTTCAAACGTGTACAAAATTTACAGGTTTGCGTTATTTTCATGTTCTTAGCGTGCAAAACTTTGATGAAATGTGTTTTATGTGTGCTTCCAAAAGTGTTATTTATCCCTTTTTTTCCTAGTGGCAGCAGCCATTCCCCAGCTTTACCTAAACCAGCGCATCATCCCGTGCTTCATGAACCACATTCAGCACATGTCCAGTTGGCGTGCAAATGAATCTTGGACGATACAGAAACTGGCTGTGGTCTGAATCACTGATCTAAACTATTCACCCATTCTCCTTTCAATACTTCTGCTTGAGATGGTTAGTTTTCTGTGCATTTGGTGAATATTACTGCAGTAGTTTTGCATTTTTCAATCAGCATGAATGCAGAGTTCACCCAGAAAAGTACTGGGCCTGTCGTGTCAGGGGTCTGAGCCGTTTTACTCCCCATTTATTGGTTTAAATGCCTTTTTCATTTTTCAGCAGTGCCTGGCTGCTCTTCATGACAGTATCTGATTGCCCTATGGTTCTGCAGCACAGTCAGCCATCATAAATCAGTCGTGTGTCCCACTTTGGGCATAAGGACAAAAGGAATAACAGCTGTTTTGACAGTGCTGAATTGCAGTCAGCCAACATATGCTTGTCCTGTGATCAATCTTTTGTGGCAAACAACGGACTTGAGTATTGCTAAAAAGTGCTGAAAAGTGGACTGAAAATCCCACAGCAATGATCTGCCAAGAGACGTCGAACATGCTGCTGCTGTACAAGAAAAAACCGTTCCCACATGGTTTTCGCATCCCTTCTGCTGCAAAACAGACTTCCCCCATTGCCGTTCTCATTCGGAACTCGACGTCGAGTTCATTGATGGACCCAACGCAACCACAGGATCAAAACTGACATGTTATGCAGTGTTTCGGAAAGAGAACAGGACCAAATCCCAAGAAACCCTCAAAAAATGTGATGCACTATTTCGGAGAAAGGAACAGGATCAAATCCCAAAAAAAACTAAAAAAACTTCCCCTGCCAGTGCATATTGTCCAAAAATACTGCCAGCGTCAGAGGGCACGCAAAACCACCGTGAAGTCGCCCTCGCCCCCCCACTGACCACTCTCCACTCTGCCAACTCGCCCTGTGAGCGTATTTTTTTTCCCCGTTGCCCAGCGCCGGCGCACCCCCGCGCCCGCCCCCCGCCGGCCCCCCCTTGGCATGCGCCACCCCGCCGGCGGAGCCAAGAGGAAGCTGAGCGCCAGCGGCAGCCACGATCCCGGCAGCAACAAGGCCGGCAGGACGGCGATGGGTGTGGAGAGGGGGGGAGACCTGGTGCGGGCGCCGGACGGCCGCTCATGCCGCGGCAGGGCTGGGCGATGATTGGAATACTGGGCTTGAGTCACTGATCTGGGTGGCAGGGTGGTGCGGGAGGGGCAGTTGTGTCTTTTGATTTGTTGGATGTGCGTATGATTTGTTATGAAGAGAGAAAGAAACAGAGCATGCAAAGGACACCCCCTTGTAAGCAAGTGCAGGTGCTCTTATAGGTTGGGTAGGGTGGGGTGTGGCCCAACTGAAGTTCCCAAGACCCAGTTTCCGCGTCCTGGACGCAGCCACAGGGGGGGGAAGTGCTGGCGCAGACTGGCCAGCCTGGTGGTGCCGGCTTGGCGTTGCCGTCCCTTATACAACGGGACTCGGTTGGCCCTTAATGAAGTGCCTGACGGTGGCCTGATATATGGGCAAACAAATGAGGGTACAATCAACTGCATCGACCCAGTCAGTCAGTCGATCAATCATTCAAACACCCAATCTGTCAAATAATTGACCAATCGAACTGCATATCAATCAAACAACATCCCGATTATCCATTTAGTGGTTCAGTTCAATGCATCGCAGTGGCAAGGACCAACAGACAAGTTCTTGAAGCTTTCATGGCCTAGCGAATCAGATAAAAATCCTTGTTTCCAAGCATCCTATATCCATTTGTGCAAAGATGCATCCCTGCCGCTCGTCCACAGGAGCCCAGCCCCCCTTGATTGCCTTAAATTGTGCAGATCTTATACAAAATTGGGATCTTATGGCTCAATGGGCAGTCAAGCAACTCTGTTGATGACAGCCAGTTAAACATGGTCCCAAAGGCAGTGCAAAATTGCCTATGGGAAGTAGGGATCCCCATGTTGAGGAAAGATCAGTCGCGTGCTCCGTTGGGCTTGGTGGCATAAGATTGGAGAATTTTTGTCCCAAGATCCACAAGTGGCACACTCTGAAATCGCATCCTGTTCAATATCAATGCATGGCAGTGATTCTACTGTGCATGTTTCTGAAATCCTTGGTGATGTGTACCGATGCTGCGAACAATTCAGATATGTCTGTAATGAATACACACAGAATACCTGTTGGACTGAAATGATTTGACTGCAACTTGTCCAACTATGGCACACCAAATCATAGAACAATTGTTCACAAGTGTGTCTTCACTGTAGCTTTCGGGGCTTTCTGATTCATGATCGGTTCCGCACCCTGCAGATACGATGCCCGTTTAATTTGCCCACATGGAAATGCATCCACTGCCCTGCACTGGTTCTTGACCGGTCGAATCAATGGTGGTTGTAGGTGCTGAATGGCCGTCACACAATCCTTTTAATTCAGGGCACACGGAACAAGGCAACAAGGACCTATCTGGACTACGAATCTGTGCCTTTGGCCATGGATGGTAAGGCCATCTGTGGGGCATGCATCCTGCCAGGCTCATGATGTGATGTGTCAAGCATCCGTACTATGAAAAGGCAGCAACCTGGTAAAACCCAAGGAAAGCACCCCATGAAGTTGCTGGAAGCCAAAAGTAATTCTGTGTCTTCCTCTACACATCTTGTGAGATCTTTGACCTAGGTGTCCCCTTTCCGTGTCGCATGATCTCGAATTGTAAACCAGAAGTAACTGGTCATGAATGTACCGGTGAACTCACATGGAAGGTGTTGCACTGTCACCCGATGCGAGCTGCATGCCCTGGTTACCTGGCTTGGCAGCTTTGGAAGTTGTGCAGCACCTGTGCAGTCTGTGTGCTGCTGAGCACTGGCCTTCCTAGAGGCACACTTGGAATGATAGACCGGGCCTATGGTTGCCTCTCATCTCAGAGGTCTTGAAGTAATCAAGGTGTTTGAATGGTTTTCAGTGGCCCAACGTTGATTTTGTGCTGTTTTGTTGCTGATTCCAATTATTGCACCACAGTTATATCTTTTGGCTATTCCAGAATGTAACATCATTGTGAAGAGTCTAGGAACTGATCCCTTTGCTCCCATCGTTGAGCTCATTCTGCAAGCTCTGGGCCAGTTCCAGGATATGACTGTGGTCACTGTTTGTCCAAGCAAGTGGTGGCCATCGCAGGTAACATCTCCCATCAGAATATTTGTCAGTTCGGATCCCTTCCAGACATGACGAGGGAAAGCAATGGATCCTGCAAAGTTTGTCAGTCGTTGTTGTTGTGACAGCCTGAGACAAAACGTGTTCCAGTTTGGAACATTATCAGTGACTTCCCAGTGTTTGTTCCCAGTGTTTATGGCTAGGTGTCTGCTGAGTTTCAAATCTGATTCCTGCACATCCTCCCACCATGCACAACCACACCACTCACACCACACACATCCCTCTCCAGGGCCTGACTTGGCTGCTGTATTGTGGACCAATTTTGAGATCAACCAGTGCTGGACAGAGATTGACATTTTCCAGCGTTCTTGGCATTTGCAACATGAGCAGCAGGATGGGGGGCAGCAGCTGGGTTCTTGAAAGTGGTGCGCTTGAAATAAATATTTTGAATAGGAAAAAAAACACCCACTCATCCCCTGCAGATTTCTGGTGCTCCGGTGGTGTGTCTCACTGCCAAGAGCTGCCCCAACGAAGTCTAGAAACTGTAAAACCAGTGAAATGTAGCATGTTGATCGAAATAATGGTTGGGGACTTATGCCATTAGTGGTAGCTTATAGTGCAGCAAACCCCTGGGACGAAATGTAGCATCTGTTTGTGCAATGCAGGCATGAACTGTTGATCAAAGTATGGGTTTGGCTCCACTCTTGTTTTTTCAGCTTCTGGTGTGCTGGGACTGAGCAGCATCATTCAGCTGCCCGACGGGGACCCATCCAATATTTGGTTTATTTCCACATGTTGTGAGCACTGTTGCCACCCTAGAGAACTAGCCTTGCCAGCCTGTATTGGAAAACCTTGTGATCTTCACGATGCAGGCCTCATCAACCTGTTCGAAAAGAAGCTTCGGGAGCTGAACCCCTCTATACGGAGCCTCACTTATGATATCAACGACCTCTACCAGTTCATGGATGATATGGTGAGTGACAGTGCAGCAAGCAGTAGGCTGTGAAATATTGCAAGATGGTGCTGGGCTGGTGCACATAAAGTTGTTTGTATCTGTCATGAAAGAACACTGAAGTAATGGACACCATGAGGCTTGATGGGGTGGCAATGCAGGGCTACGAGTAAAAATGGCTGAGTGTGCAGCCGTATTTGTCTTTTAGTGTTTTTTGGGAGAGGGTGAGTGGGTGGGGGGAAATGCAAGAATTTCAGTTTTCAACATTGAAGAGAAGTTTGCATTGGCCTCCTCTCTTGTAATGGAGATGACGTAGGTCCTTTGCCAACTTGTGGAAAGCAGGATAACGTAACCTCTCCAAGTTATTGATCACGGTGCATGCACCTGCAGATGAGCTTTAAATGCAGAGATTTTCCTGGACGCCATGAATAGCACAAAAGCGGGTGTGTGTGTGGACACAGCGTGGCCACCAATTTTCTACAATTGACACAACTGTAAGGATGGGTAGATGGTGCAAGACGCCTATGTGTTTGTTTTGCTATTGGCTGCTTGACTTCTGGATGGGTCGTTGCTGGATTGCAGGGAAGGTGATCATTTAGACTCAATTGATTTGTCTTCAGTGCAACGCTGTTCTGAGTGCGAACGTTTGGTGCTGTCCATGTGCAGGAGGACATCAGCGCATTGGTGTGAGTGCCAGGATCCAAAGTTTACACGTCATGCGATACCCACAGTGGTTGCATTGATCGTAGTAGGGCAAAGCATTGCCCCTCGCCACTGTTTGACGATGCTTCATGATGGGGCTTGCCTTGCCTCGTTACTGTGCTGATATGTCCAGTCCACCTCTCAAACCTGCAATGCCATGAGCTATTAGCCACAGAAAAGCAGCAAGTCTGAACTAAATGCCATGAGCTATCCTTCACAGGAAACAGGAAATCTGTACAAAATGTCATTCAGGATCATCAGTATTCGGTGCTGGTCATGTATTCTTTTGCTTGAATGTGATGAAATTGCCATTGTGACTTAAGTCTTCCCTATTGTTGACAACATAGCATTGAGGGCATATTCCCTTTGGCCTGGCAATCATCTGCTTCGCGTCACCTTTTGATGTTACGTCCTATAATTGGGAGTTGGAAGATGGACTGTCTGTTTCTGCGTTCGTTGCATATGGTGCCAAAAGTTGTCCTTGCGCATTGCAGCCCGCCCGCAGTGTGCCTGGCCGCCTATGGCAACAGTGTAGCAGATCATTGATCGTCTGATGAAGGCCTGCCATGCGCTTTCGTTGCAAAGGTACGATCCCCAGATCCAGGCCTATGTCCCGTGCCCGAAAGACTGGATCAAGAAGCGGTGTTTCAACCACCTGAAGCGTCAGGCAACGTGACACAAGACGATATGCGCGTTGAAGCATTCGGCACGAAAGGATGGGAGGAGCATTACGCATGGAGGCATCGGTACGACGGTGGGCGTGATCCGACGTGGACGTCGCATGTGTTGATGATCTGGTGGTCTGGGAACATTTAGAAGCATGGGAACGCAGTTTGGGTGTATTGTGCCGGGATTTGCGGTTGGTACATGGTTGCCTTGCAGTGGAATATCCCCACCTGTTTTTAAAGGCACCAATGGGGCCAACAGTCAGGTGCAGTGCGTCCCAAACAGCCACTCATTAGCCTGCGCACTGGTCTGGGATTCCATGCCTACACCTTGGGGGCTTGCACCCTTGAGGGATAATAAGCAGTGGCAACGACGTCCACAGATGCGGACCTCGAAATCGCAGGGGACGTCGTGGGTACGACACCTGGCAGTCGGTGGGCTGAACAGCGCGCGGCGCTGCTTTGCGTATGCAAACTTGTGTCATGCGTTCCCGAGGCTATGATCAAAGGCAATGAGGGGTGAATTAGGAGCCCGCGCAAAAGTGGCAAGATAGGGCCCCTTTTTGCGCCGGGTGCAGTGTGCGATCCTGCCGCCTCGGTTGCCTTATGTAAGGCAATGAATCTCCTTGTTGTCAGCTGAATGCCAGGTTGCCATTCGGTTCTCTTCGACGCATCGAGAATTTCTGGTGGTTGCTGGCAGTTGATGCTCATTCTCAGGGCCCTTCATTTCGCATCTCCGTGCACATTTCTGTTTCCGTTAATTTGGGAACTTTCACCTTGACATTATGGCCGCAAATGTGCAGGAGGGGAAGTAAATTATTGCAGCTCATTGATGCGCATAAGAGGATAGGCAAGTATGACTTTGCTGCAGTGACAGCATCGCGCAGCGTGGGATCCAGACAACAAACGCAGGGTGATCTGGACTTCAGCCGTCACGTATTTTGCTCTTGACCCTACACAAGGGGAAACTGAACGAACCACACCTGGCGCTGGCTGACTATGAACCACAACTGGTGCTGGATTTGGAACGATGGCTCCTCATCTGCCTGGAAGGCAGCCGTGGAATTGTTCTTTGACGAACGGCGTACACAGTACCCTGCATAGCCCACGTGCTATGGTGGTCGCACGACGCTTTGCCATCCTGCAACAAGCACTGTAGCTGCGAGAAGAACGTCGTCTTTAGGCTGACAATATCGCCCCATTACAAGGTGCCGAAATTCGAGCCCACGGACAGCCAAGGGAGCTTTCTGGCAAAGGAGGGGCGGTTGCCTCGAAGGGGCCTCTGAACGCCTGGGCTTTATGCAATCCACGATGGGAGGGCCAGTAATCTACAAGGGTGAGAGAAAACCTGTTGTGCATTGGGCGTCCTTCGCCAGTCAAGGAGCCGCATCGCCGTCTCACTGTTGTTGCAGGCGACGTACAAGGCTCGGAGTGGGTCGCGGACGGGGGGAAAGAATGGCTTGAAACCAAGTTCAGATAAACCAGAGGAAGGAGGTCCTTCATGACGGGCCGTGGATATCGGGGCATGCTGTGATCCTCTGTGACCTTGTGTGCAGCACTTAGCCCTGCATCTCCGACGGCATACAACGGCAGACAGGCCTGCGGGATGAGACCTCTCCATTCAATTGTCCCTGGGTCCCCCGGCCCACGCTCCAGCGCGCTGCAGTTTCCTATTCGCGTCCGAATTCCCCACCACGTCCCCCTCACATAACCCCACCCCCAGCCCACACCGCCGAGCCGCACACACCCGTGTGATCGAAACACTGCGCCCCAGAGCGCCCCAGCGCCAGCGCGGCGGGCACGGGCGCCATGCGAGTCCACGAGCGGGATCGAGAGAGGGACAGGGGCAGGGAGCGCGATCGGCGCATCCCCCCCCGGCGCAGCCACGGCCTGAGGAGCCGCAGCCCCCCGCTGCGCCGCCCGATGTCGCATTCCCCACCTCCCTTCGACAGGCGCGGCGGCGGGATGCCGATCGGCGAGGGCGGGCGCCTGCCGCCGGGGTTCAGCAGGCGGCGCAGCCTGAGCCCGGAGGGGAGGGGGATGTCGCCGGCGTCGCGGAACAGGGCGCGGCTGATGGAGGCGGATTTCGTGCTTGGGCCGGAGCTGGGTGGCCAAGGGCTTGGCGCCAACGGGAGGGGGGACATGCAGCTGGGCCCCCTGGGGGGGATGCCAGTGGTGGGAGAGGCCGGCAACGGGGTGAGCGCGGTGCCGTCGCTGCAACTCTGTGCGTTTTGCGCTTTTTTTGGATGCCCTTGGCGGATCCTGTGCACGGCTGTGGCGTTCTGCGGGGGTCGAGATGTGTTAAATTCCCCGAAGCCACAAGTCATGCAGTGGAGCGCCCCCTCCTGGGCATGCGTGCAGCGGGCTCTGTTCCGCTGTGCAGCGCTGCGGGTGCCGCCGTCGACGAGAATGAAATCGAGTGCGTGATGCATGCTCCCAACCTTCGACCATGAGGTCCGTTCTGGGGGGTGTGGGGCTGTGAGAATGGGAGGGGAGGGGCGTGGGCGGGCGGCGGCATCGGCGTTGTTTGTGTGCTTGGTGTCCGTGGCGCCGACGCGCCTTGGTGGGCGGCGGCCGTCTGTTGTTCGGCCCGCCGCGCGCGGGGAAGTAGGCGGTGTGCCGCCAGCGGCGTTCCAAAATTGCTTCATCTTTCTGTTTCGACGCGCTGTCCTTCTCGCTTTTGGGCGGCGGCCTGTTGCATCCGGCGTTCGAACGATCTGGCATGTTAACATCCTGACGTCCGAACGTGCTGGCATCCATTGTGGCAAAGAGCCGTCTGGAAAATTACGGAGAACGCGCGCAGCGAACGACGGTCTCCTTCGGGACCAAGCGTGTAGAGCGCTCGGATCTGTGTTGGAGATTTTGGCTGTGGGCCACCACCTGGGGTTCTGTGCCCCTTCATTTATGTTGGCTTTGGATATTCAGCTCCGGTCTTTCGGCGACGGCCGCCTTCAGGAAAATTCAAGGTGAAGGCGACCTGTTATGGGCACATTATCTGGAGAGCCTGCTGAGACAGCGAGTCGCGTTTGTTTTCAGGGTATGCCTGATGGATCAAAGTTGCCTCCGCACATGCAACACCGCGGTCCACACCTCCCTTTCGGACCCATGACCAACGAGTTTCCTCTTGGGATCATGCCAGACCAGAACGCCCCAATGATGGGAGGAATGGGGATGCAGCCGGGATCGGCTGGGCCGATGCGTAAAATTAATCCAAGGGGCAGCCCCGAACTGATTATGCCAGACTTCCCGCTTGGGCAATTCCACGGCCCTGGCCCAGACTTCGAACGCGGGCCCTTTGAGAGGCCGGGTATGGTGGGGAGGGACAGGTCGCCGTCGCCTTGGCGGGGCCGCAGGTCGCCCTCGCCCGTGCAAGGCCCCCCACAGGCGCGGAGGCGCAGATCAGCCACCCCCGTGCTGGACCTCGGCGACTTCAAGCCGCCCCCCAAAGCAGGAACCCACACGCCCATGGTCAGGGAACCTGTCGATGGCAATGACAACCAGTCCGGAAAGAAGAGGAAGCGCACCCGCAAGGCTAACGGTGCCATGAACGGCTCCAACCAGAATGGGAAGAAGCAACAAGGGCTGGGGACCCCCAGGGGGTTCCCCATGCAGCAACCCATAGCCATGCAGCAGGCCACGGTGCAGTCGATGATGCAGGCTGGACCGGTGCAGGGCATGCTGCCGCCAGGTGGCATGAACAACACCATGGCTCCTGGTGGGGCTCTTGGGGCTGGACCCATGGGTGGTCAGGGACACATCGCTCATTCGCAGGTTGGCATGCCATCCAGGCCCGTACTCTGTGAGAGGCCTGCAACACAGCCGACCAACAAGCTGGTTCCTTTGATCAGCAAGGCACCGCTTCCAGTGAGGCAGCAGAAAATGCTTTCCTCGGCAGCTGAAGGTATGTGCATGCAACGATACCCACAAATTCGACCGTGCAGTATTTCTGTGAAATCTTGTGTGCCTTGTGAGGCTTGCCAGACTTGCGCATGCAAGTACAGGCTCCCCTCTCTGGGGAGTCTGTCACTCCAGAAGATGGTGTTTTCGTGCACAACTGCAATATTATCTAATTTGTCACCAACATCTGCCGCCACCCTTGCCAGTGTGCGATGTTGAGATCTGTTCGGGGGCTGCTTTGAAGTGGCCCGTTCTATTTGTGTCTTGCGTGCGCCGGCACTAAACTAGCTATGACAAAGTCTCGCTGGCCACATCTTCACAGTAGAGCATAGGACGGTTGGCTGTCTGCAACAACTTGGCAACCTGCTGTGGTGTGCCAAGTTCAGTTCACCCATGCTCACCCATTCTGCACCCCCCTTCAGCTTCACTTTCCCTTTCTCCTGCTGTGCCGCAGCCAGCTAAGATATATGTGCCTTGGCAACTTTCATGTTAGCGGCTCTGTCCCAGGCCTGTTGATCTTTAGTTGCACGTTGCTGAAAAGATGTCCCTCCACAAATTGCCATGCCCGTCGCTTCTGCTGTGGAGAGCACAGCGAGGAGGCCCAATGGCACAGGCTCCCTTGCTGTAGCTGCAGTCCCATTGTGCGTTGTCATCACTCACATGCTGCATGGGAGTGGGCACGCACTGAAAGCTTTCTGTCAAAGAGCAAACCAGAAAGGACGGCCCCCAGGAAACGATTCTGTGCTGCTCATTGTGGGGGATAGCATGACACAAGCTTGTTTGGCCATGTGGCTAAAGAGACTTTTGTTGGCCTGCTGTCATTTCCTCCATTGGCCAGCTTAGTGGGGCATGGCAGTGCATCAGCTGCCTGGATTTTAGTTTACATTTTTCGGGGTTGCATAGAAAGAACAAGGGAGGTACGGGGTTCAGCATTGGCTGGCTGCGGGGCAATGCTATTACCAGTTGGACTGGTTGCAAATGCTCCTGCCAGAGCCTGCTGATGAGTTTGAAGAGTATTGCCCAAGCTGCCCTACCATACAGACTGGATTGTACCTGCTGGTGGCTGGCCCCCTGGAAAGCCCTGGAAGCATTGCTGCCATGCAAACTGTTTATT